TCTTTTTTCCATTGTATATCCTTGCCTCCTTTGTCAAAGATAAGGTGACCATAGGTTCGTGGATTTATCTCTGGGCTTTCTATTCTGTTCCATTGATCTATATTCCTGTCTTTGTGCCTGGCCTTCATTCTTATTCTCATATGAGCTTTGTGCTGCCTGGAGATTTTTTTTTTACCCTTTTACTCGCTGATTTCCCCAACTGGAAAATGGGCATAATAGCATCTATATATCAAACTGTGGTTAAAAGGATGAAAGGAAATAATGATTAATGTTTTCTGGCAGACAGACTTCAATAAATAATATTCACCACAATTGCATCATACCCTGGATTTCTTCCTAACACACAAAAAGCTAAGCATTTAAAAACAAGGTCAAAGTTAGCATTAAAGATTGACTAGGAGAGTACCAGAGAAGGCAATGGCACCCCACTCCAGTACTGGAAATTTTCCAGCCTGGAAAATCCCATGGACAGAGGAGCCTGGTAGGCTGTAGACCATAGGGTCGCTAAGAGTCGGACACGACTGAGCGACTTCACTTTCACTTTTCACTTTCATGCACTGGAGAAGGAAATGGCAACCCACTCCAGTGTTCCTGCCTGGAGAATCCCAGGGATGGGGGAGCCTGGTGGGCTGCCGTCCATGGGGTCGCACAGAGTCGGACACGACTGAGGTGACTTAGCAGGAGATGACAGCAAAAAACTAACTTTCAAGCTGCTTTGGTATTTTCAAGGAATCACAGTTGTCACACCACAGAGCAATCTCCTATAATAAGAAGGCTAGACTAGTGTCCTCAAGATGCTTCATGCTATTCAAATGGAGAGCAGATACAATTACTCCTCACAAGACACCGTTTTTCAATGAAGCAAAGTGTGCTTTTCAAACTCATCTAATTTTTTACATGTGAATGGATGAGTCAAACATGTACTGAAATGGCATTAAAAGAACATAATTCCAAATATAAAGCTTATCATCTGTTAGGCTATTTGAGGAATTATTACATCTAGGATACATCCTCGAGACCCTGCCAAGGTACCTACAGCATGTTCTTGAAGTTGCTCCGGAAGCTCTTGCATCTCCCCCTCTACTAGCTCTCTGTCAGACAGGGACTCCTGGAGGTTATCGTCATCTTCCACACAGTCTGCAATGCTCCCATTATCAATCTCTGCTTCATCCAACACACTGATATCCACCATGTCGATGACATGTAAGTTCTCCAAACTGGTCTCAACATCCTCCTGTGACAAAGAAAAATACAAGCATCAGATGATGGTCACTGGTCCATGCATGGAGCTGATCACTGACGAGGTTCACATACCTGTCCATCCCCAGAATTTTCCTCTAGCCCATTATCTTCCAAACTCTCTTCTTCTGGCTTGCGGCCTGAAGGAATAATTTATGGCATGAGATCAATGGTATGCATTTTCCAGAAGTGACAACTTTCATTTTTATACGCCTTAAGCACTGAAGAAAGATAACAACCTAAAACACCCGTGGCACTTCTCCATTTAGAAACACAGTAATCCAGGAATGGTAGGGCCAATCTACCCCCTAGTAGAAGTTGTTGTTGTTGTTCAGTTGCTAAGTCGTATCTGCCTCTTTGGCACCCCATGGACTACAGCACGCCAATCTCCCCCATCCTTCACTATCTCCTGGAGTTTGTTCAAACACATCCACTGAGTCAGTGATGCTATCTAACCATCTCATCCTCTGTCATCCTCTTTTCCTCTTGACCTCAATCTTTCCCAAATCAATCATTTCCAATGAGTCGGCTCAGCCAAAATATCAGAGCTGGCACTGGACCTGGCACTTCTGTAGCTCAGAAGTGGTTCTGCTCTTATTAACTGGAAGTTTGAGGAGCTGGAAATGGATTCTTAATAAGGTGGAGGCAACCAGACCTTTTCCAGGCCTGCCTTTCTTGTTAAGTGGCTTTGGTTATGGGGAGCATAGTATCTCATATAAACATGCTGCTGTGGGGAATTCCCCGGCACTCCAGTGGTTAGCATTCTGTGCTTTCACTGCCTATGGCTCAGGTTCAAAACCTGGTCAGGGAACTAAGATCCCACAAGCTGCATGGCAAAAAACAAACGAAACCAAAACAAACAAAAAAACACACAAAAATTAAAACAAAAAAA